TCCTCTGCATTATAGTATGTTTGGCAGCATCTCTGGCCTTTACCCACTAGATACCAGCAGCACCCTCCTCCTGCCATTGTGACAACCAGGATGTTTCCAGACACTGCCAGATAGTCTGAGGGTGGAGGTGAGGGAGTCACAGTCACTCCTGGATGAGAACCACCACTGTAGATGTAGGATGTTGTCCTGGGGTAGTTTCTGTTCCTCTGAATTACTCATTAAATGACCAGGCCAGGAATATAGTCTTTACATCAGCAAACCCAAAGACAACAACAAAACAGAGCAGAATTAAATGTTTTAAAACTTTACCTTATCAACATAAAAAATAACCCTAAGCTCCGATGGCATGTGGCCTGTGTCTTTTTGAGTTCAGGCCGATAGATAAACTTGACAGAGCCAAATCCTTGCTCTGAAAGGAAAGCTACCAGGGTGGATTAATATGTTTTTGGAAGGCATCAGCAGTTGACCAACTTCCTCATATTTTGAGCCCATTATTCCAGCAGGGAGAGCTAGTGTTCTATCTCCCTCCCCCCTCCCCCACTGCCCCTCCTTTTCTCCTTCCCTCTAATGGTCTTTTATTGCTCTAACACATTTTTAAAAAATGAACTTCTCTGTACATTTGGGGTGAATGTGATGAGGGGATATACTCCTCATCAGAGAGGTAATTAAAGTTTATAGAAACAGGCGAAGTCTGCAGCAAATCCCGCCACTAATGAGGAAACCAGGAGTCTGACTTTCAAACAAACACTCCTGTTAATCTTTTCAATGCGAGTCAGACGTGTGGGCAGGGAAAAAGTTGTAAACTGACAGTGGTTCTGTGGCTGCCTTTCCCTGGCCACTCTCTAGCTCATTCTCAAGCCAGGCCCCACCTCATTCCACAGGGTTCATCCCTGCCCGCTTGCTGGGGCCATCTGTGAGCAAGCCCTGTGTCACTTGTTTTTGCTTACATGAAGAGCTGTGGCATGTTTGAGAGTTAACAGGAAGCTTTACTCCATTTTTCCAGTTAGATTTATATAGTCTAGGGAGAAGCCAAGGTAGGAGGAAAAGCGTTAGGCAAAACAATCAATTTGTTGTCATCTGATGCAATACTCTGGACACAAATAAATGACTCTGCCCATTCTTCCTCTTGCTTCATTTGCCCTGAGACAAAAAGGTGAATCCACTGGAAAATGTATGAAAGGTCACCGTGTTTCACAGCAATGTCCGGACATGCTCTGCCAGTCTGTTCTAACTAGTACATGGTAATGCGATGGTACCAAGTTACTGGAATCCCGAGTGAGTCTGTGATTTGTCATGGGCATAAGTACTGGAATGATGTTATGCTCTCAGCTGTCGGGGGAAAATAGTTCTTTCACTTGTGGGCTGAATATCTGAAAGATCTGAAATACTGTCCGTGATTGTTCTTTCTATACTGTAGGACTGACATAACTACAAAAGACCATCCATTTGGTCAAATTATCTTTTTTACACATATTTTGATGATAAAACAACTTAGTCTCCCTAGATATACTCACATTCAAATGAGCTATTCAAATATTTGTTTTAATTTTTCTCTCTGGTCTGATATCCCTCTTAAGACCCAACAGTCATGCAAAATTCACCTATCCGGCCATAGCTCACCTATCCCTTTGGCTGGCCTCATGCCCCCTTATTCAGTAGCAGTATGGGTGTAGCTGGGGACCCTTGATATTACAGGGAGCTTTTTAAGAGTAGGAAATCTGGGGATTAGGAGGTTCAGGTATTTTGGTTGGAAATGTTTCCCCCATCAATGGGGCTAAATTTTGCCATGACAGCTCAAGTATTCGCTCTGCACCTTGACATGGATGAAAGCAGCCCCACTCCAGTACCCCTCCCACTGCCCCCAAAGGATTAAACAACCTGAGCAGATAATGGCTGCCTTAAAAGGATCTTTTGCATGACTCAGATGAATGCATGCTGCCTGTCGCCCAGGCTGGCAGCTAAACATTAATTTTTTATAAAAAAGAAGAAAAAAAGGAACGTAAACCTCCAGATGACAACTCTTTTCAGACAAGGTGTGGAGTCTGTCTGCAAAGGAGAGAGAGAGAGACAGAGTCCAAGTCCCCAGTGCAGAAGGAAAGCCAGGTGGGGCTGAGGGTGGGGAGGGGCTGCAACAAAGCTGTCGGGTGGGATGAAAAGGTAAGGCAGCCACAGAGCAGTGTCAAGTTCTCAAAGCTGGCGGCCAGGCAGCCACTTTTCTTTAATGTATCCCAACCCCCTCCTGCCCCCAGGTTTATGATGTTTTTCAGGTCTGTGCTGCAGGCTTGATTTCTCAGAGGGAGTTCTCCCAAGTTGATGAGCAGTCGCCCATGCTGTTCTGAGCCACTGGTGAAAGCTCATCTGGAATTCTCCGGTCCTGCCTCCAAGACAGCAGAGGATCATTCTTGGGTGCTGAAATGGACATGGTTTTTATCTGCTTCACACTCCCATGCCATAAAACATCCTTCCTTACTCCTGGGATAACTGAAGTCCAGTTTATTCAGAAGCCTAACTGTGATATGGGATTTTGGAGAACACATATTACTCCTTTCTTTCTCACCCTTACATATGAACACTGGTTAGCTGGAGAGATGGCCCCTAGGGTTCTTGGACTTTAAGGTGCCAATCTTGGGTGGTGACCAAGTCAAAAGACTTATGTAATAAATTCCAAGGGACGGTCCCACAGCAGGGACATTTCCAAGGAAAACAGTAATTGTTTGAGATGTAGAACATAGCCAGTGGGCAGAGCAGTGCCACTGAGAAGAATCAGTAAAAGTTGACAAGTGCCTTTGGAATCAAATTCTGTTCCTGAGGGATAGGTTTCTGGAAACAACAAGCTGAACAGATGACATAATTCCTATGCTACTCTCTCAACTCCTTAAACCAGCAGGTGCCATGAAAATGTTGGTATTAACGGCTGAAAATAGTGTGAAAACTGTACATCTAAGTTGGCTTTCCTGTTCTGCTGTGGCACCTAAATAATACTCAAAGGCAGTGGCTTTCAGTTTTGCCCCTCAGGGGAAATTTGGCAATGTCTGGAGACATTTTTCATTGTCATAACCGGTGGGGTGCTACTGGCATATATATATATAGAGAGAGAGAGAGAGACGAGGGATGCTGCTAAATTTTCTATAATGCACCAGATAGCCCCCACAACAAAGAATTATTTGTCCCAAAATGTTAATAGTTCTGCTTTTGAGAAGCTCTAAGAAGCTAAGGCATGTGGTGAAATCTCAAGTAATCCCAATTGTCTGGAAAACACAACATTACACAACGTTTAAGATGGCAGACATGACTTCTTTGCCCGTCTGCCTGCCTCCTAATCTGCTATGATCTGATCCCAAGAGCTGAAAAGCAGAAACCTCCCTCCTCCCAACACACATGCAAGTGTATTTGTAGGCATCATAATGCTGAAGTTCTCTGAAGTATTTTCACACTTTGGTCCAGGTCCAATTTCAAAGCCCCAAACAGTGAGTTTCTTCTTTTGCCTTGACCAAAGGAAGTTTTCTCTGTAACTCTGATTTCCCTGCCCACGAGCAGAAGGGAGTGCCAAGCCCAAAGGGCTCATAGGTTAAATGACTAATATTTAATGAGCTCATAGTAACAACAATTAAGCTAACCATGACACCTGAGCTTTTCATGCTGTTCCTTTAACCTCAGTATGAATAGGTCTTGGTTGGAAATGTCTCATTTGGGATATGTTTGCTCCCCATTACACATGTACCCCAGTGCTGTTCAGGTGACCTGTGAAAATTCCATTGCCAGATGGACTGGTCCCACAGTCAAGAATTCAGTTAGAATAATGAGTTCTAGAAACTACTTCGGCCCTTTTGTGGCCCTTCAGCTGTCGCCCTTTCTTGCCAAACACAAGCAACCCCAAAATGCTGAAGGAATGGCCTTCTCTAAGCCACTTCTGTTCCACATCCATAATCTCTACTTGTGACTGCCAAGAAAAATCAGTGCATGGGCATGGGACTTAAGAGTAGAGGTGGGCAACCTTGTCTTTAAACCATGTGTTATTCAATTAATAATGTTCTGTCAGCACCCTTCATGCACGTCCTCTAGTCTCCCAAACCTTCCACTCCAGCTCAGCAGCGAAGAGTGTGTTTTTAGGCAGCTTACTTGAGAGTCGACTGGAAAGTTCTGCAGAGAGAGTTGTCATGCCACTGGCTCGTCCAGGTGAAATGGGCGTTGCTGGGTGCACAGAAGGAGAGGCAATTGATCCCAGGTACTGGTAGGACTGATCGTAGGACCACGGTGGGGATGGCTGGATTTGCCTTGTATCTATGGAGAATCAGGAAGGTCAATTATATGTACAGTGAGGTGGGATTTAAAAAATAAAAAGTCTTTTAATAAGAAATTAGTAACCTTTGTTTAAATATGTTATACATGTATGTGGCCTGTTTTCCAGTGTTTAATAAACCTACTCAAGTCCAACTATATGCCTCTGTTGGCTGATTTCTCCTCCAAAAGATACTGAAAGATAGTTTATGTTTGATTCTTGGAGAGTTTTGTCTGATATCTGTTCCTTCCAAAGGTTTTCTTTAATCATGCTAATAATGATGAGAGGAATGGATCTTGCTTTCAAGGCGGAAGTGTTATTGTTCAAACTGTGGGACTGCAGCGCTTGATGACTTTAAGTAATGACCACTCAGACTATTTGAGCTTTATCGATAATTACGATTATCATCATCAGAGACATATGATAAACTCAGGAGATCACCTGTCTATCTGTATTTAGTAAACAAAAAGAATGTAGAATTTTGGGATTTTTTTGTACCTTTGCCAAAAAATATTCTATGGGCTTGTAAGTCTTTTCTATTCAGGTGAATTCTCTCCTAAGGATGATAGAAAAGAAAGTCTTGCTGGGGAACTGGCAATGGAGCGTAGTGACTAGTTCACCAACCCAGCAGTAGAGAGCTGGCTTTATCAACCTAGGCATCCTGCTCCTTTTCAAGACTTCAAGTTTGCAACTTTTAAAGGGCAGATTTTTGAGCAAGTACGTTATAGATTGCCATTATAAGTGTTCTGGGATAGAGAAAAGACAAAAGTCTAACTTCAAAAGATTTAGGGAAAATGGATTTTGAAAATTTGACTCCAATGCTCAGAGTCTTAGTTTTCAAAACCATCAAACTATTTGGAGATGAAAAGCAAGAGGGAAAACCCCTCTGTTTTTAGGCAAAATGTGAGAGGAAATTTAAATTGGATACTGTCCCACTACAAGACAGTTTTACATTTCTTTAGTATTTAACATTAATTTTATCTTTGTATCCCACTTTCTTTGTGGACAGATATAACAATAAACTACCATAATTCCCAAGGGCCTTCACAGCCAGAGCTTCACCATCCTGGGAGCAATCTAGGAAGAGCAGACTTCTTTAGGAAAACGCTGGGTGTAAGTTCTGTTCAGGCCATGACAAAGAAATGAGTTATTCCTACTTATTATAAAATATTCAGTTTGGCTCCCTCCAGAGACTTTTCATTTCCAGCAGTTAAAGTTTGTCTTTTCTGTTTATCTCCCTGAAATTTCTGCAGTGGACACTAGAATCAGACATGAGGAGACCCAAGTCTTCCTTCCTGCTCTTCTCCTGATCTCTCCCTTCCTCATCCTGATCCATCTCTTTCTTTCCTTTTCTTCAAAATCACTGCATTTTTAAGTTTAAAAAACCTGGTACTTCCTGAGCAAATATTTTAACTTGGAATCTTTGAAATCAGATATTAAAAAAGGTCTTCATTTCATTACTGATTTTAGAGGATTCAAAAAAATGGCAAGGAATGAGAGCTGGTTCATTTTAAACTCAGCAGTAACTGTAGTTGAATATCCTATGGAATCTTCCAACTAGCAGTATTTTCAGTAACTGAAGGCAAAAACAAAGATCAGACTGTTCAATATTGTCATGTTACTTCAAGGATTTTGCTTTAAGTGAAAAAAAAAATCATACACTCAGATATTTTCTGTAAGACATGTGTATGTTCTATGCACACACATTTACTAAGTGAATATATAACATGCAAATGTTTTAATCATTTAAAAAACAAACAAAAGTGGTTTTATAATTGTCATAAAGCCCTCTGGGGTGCAAATTGCGGTACTGTAATTCATGCCTTGTTGTGTAGACATCCCAGCACCCTTAACCCCATGTCTAAAACCACACTAAGCATAAAGCATTATGCCATGATTCATGCTCTGTCATGTTTTACTGTAGTGAAAAAGTTGTGCTAGGCTTTTCTAAACTCATAATTAAACCATGCAAACGTTGCATAATATTTCACAGCCTGTTAAAAATATGCTTTGGTAAAATGATCTTTATGATTAAAGTCCAAGTTCTGTGATTTTATTTTTAAACACAGGGTTGTGGATTCAACATCTTCTTACTTCACACTGTAACTCAGCTTTCCAGGTGTTGGAGTTGGGGGTAGCACTAAAAACCTGAAGCCCACCCGACACCCATCAGTTTTCATTCCTGTGACACACTGACTGTGCGTGGGCTCATTGCCAGTGGTGGGCCAGAAGATGAGGATGGTAAGCTCTCATGTTGGGTTTTGGGATTTCTTCTTCTAAATGTATTATTGATAGAAAACAAAACTAAAAAAGGCCTGATATATGGTGCATTCTGGGTTTAATATTCAGTCTTTGCTCTGTGGGGCCAACATGAATGCATGAAGGCAAGTGTAGAAATGGCAGTGCTGTCGGCCTCCCTGAGCACTGGACTGATAGGCACAAGTGGGCTCTGGGACTGTCCATGTTTTGAGTGTGTTGGGTGACCCTGGATTACTCACCTACCCTTTTATATTCTCATCTCTGAGAGGAGATGATCTCTAAATCCCTTCCAGTGGTGACAGTGTAAGATTCTAATTAAAATAGGTCCTACCCAGTGTTTATTTGCTTAACTTGTGTGTTACTTGAGCATTACGCAGTGTCATGGAAGAATCAGGTAGG